TCCCTATCACTCTTCCTCTACCTCTTTACCTGAGTAATATTCTCCAAGGGAGTCACCTGGAGCTACACTCAGGGTTTGAGTAAAGATGCATATCTGTGGGAGACAATGTAGGGCCCAAGAATGCATTTATTTGCTTGGTTCAGGCAAAGGCCATCTGCATGATTTCTTCCTTCCTGGCTTTGCCAACCAGATTGTTTTAACAGAACAGGTTATTCCCTTGTACCCTGAGGCCAAAATGATACCAGCTGGGACTCTAGGCCTAGCGGCATGAACTTCTGCACACTGGTCCCTGTACCTCTGAGCCTCAGTGAAGTCTCTCTAGATTTGGTTTTTCTTGGATTCCACACAGATCTTTAGCAAAGCATTAATGTATTTTTTGGTTTATACATCCTACCCCCTCTTGCAGACTGTGAGCCCCTTAAGGCCAGACACTATGTCTGTGTTAACCTCTGTATCCACAAGGACTAAAGCAGGCCTGATATAGAAAAGACACCTAGTGAATATTTGCTCAACCTAGCCAAGCCCCACTGTCTTCCTAGGAGAAACAGAGGTAATAGTACCATCACCGGGGGCATCTAGGAGGGTGAACCAAGATAATGTCTAAAAAGGACTTAACATGGTACTCACCATGGTAAGCACTCAATAAATGGTATCTCCTATGATTATTATTACTATGTTACATACATATAATATTATATATTCTATGGTGTTATTATTAAACAAGTGAATGAATGAATTAGTAAATAAATGCATGCATGAATGAAGTGACTTAACATCAATTTAAATCCTGACTTTGGCCCAAGTAGGAGTGAACTTTTAATATTCTTTGTCCCATGGACTGGAAATGACTAGATGTGTCGCAGTATTATTATTTTGTTGTTTTTGTTTTAGATTAAACCCAACAACATGTACAGGCTTCATCCAAAAAGTTTTCCTGGTTCTTGAACACAAATTCATCCAAGTGGGATGGAAGACAAGAGGCTAAGGAAAAATACTTTCCTCTTCTTCTTTAGTTTCAACTTTTTGGTGATTTTTCTGTAGATAAACCATAAAAACACAAATAGAAACAGATTTAAAAACAAGTGAATGAAGAAGAAAATCCCCAATATACAGCCTAGAAATCAACCATCAAGAGTGAAGGTCAGAAGGCTGGGAAATGAAGGAGAAATTGATAGACTCGGTAAAGTGTCTGAGTGTACTGAGAGGAGATTTATACAAACATGGAGAATCTGGAGATGAACTGGAATAAGTACATAGGAGACAGGAGAAGCTTGGCCTCTTAGGGCACCTGCAGGGGCTCAGTGTGTCTTGAGAGGTGGCTGGGAGTAGGGGGTGAGGAGAGAGGAGAGGTGGGCAGGGCCACCTTGTAAAGGCCTCATGTCTAAGTCTGGGTTTTATCCCTAGTTTCCTGAGGAGGATAAGGAGAAACTGCAGGTGTTAAGCAAAAGAGCAGCATAATGAGACAGAATTTGAAAGAGACCATGAAGAGATGGTTCCTCGACTCAAGTGAGCCTCAGTTGCCTCTATGGAAAATCAGGAAAAATAAAATTCACCTCAGAGGACTGTTCTGAGACTTTAATGAGATAACCAATGAAATATGCCCCGACTTTAATGGGATAACTAATGGCAAAGACCACTTCTCAACTTCTCTTCCAGTATTTGTAGGAAGAGCAAGTCTGCTCTTTTTCAGGCTCTGAAAAGTCTGGAGTCACCAGTCCTTAGTGACTTCTGAAAGAGGTGTCTAGGGGGACTGTTTTGGAATCAGACTGTGTCCTCTCTGAATGTGAAACTTTTGGAGCTTGAAGGCTCTTCCCTGTGGGTAAAAACGTGTGCTTTTTCTGGAGCTTCACCATTGCAGTGCCCCGTGGCAAGTGAGCAGGGTAAGGACTACCCTAAGAGGCAAGCTGGCCCAGGGCCCAGAAAACCAGGGAGTCCTGGGCTGGGCTAGGTCAGTGCTTTCAAGCAGGCTGCTAGAAGGCTTCCTGAATTAAGGAATGTAAGAAGCTTTAGGAAAAAATAACGTGATGCCTATTAATTGCTGGCAGTTTCTATGCCAGGCTCTTTATATGGGTTAGCATTTTATACATAAAAACCATCACATTTTTTATGGCCAAGGAAACAGGCCAAGAAAACTTAGGTAACTTGATCTAAAGTCACAGAAGGGGAAGGGCAAAGATTCAAAGCTCCATATCTTTTTAGAGTTAAAGCTCCTTCTACCGCTTCATTTTTTCCTGTGGGGGAAACTAAAAGCTAACTCTGTTATCTGATTAGTTTTCATTTGGGGCTTGTCTGGAATAGTCGTCCTAGCCACATGGTGGATCCATGATAGGGCCATTATGAGGTGTTGGAACTTCTATTTATATATTATCATCTCATCCTTTTAAATTTCTATGTTCCTATTTTTTTATAGTATACATATTAGTCTAGAACTATTTATACATATGTATGATTTATGAATAATTAATATATTATTAGGGGCTGAGTTCTCATAAATGTTTTATTGAGAAACAAGGTCAAGAAAACTTGGGGACTACTGATCAAAAGGTATAGCCAGGGCTCCAGAGAGAGGTAAATATTTGCGGGAGACTTTGCAAATCCTCCAAAACACATATATGCTCCCTTTGTGAAGACTACCATCTGCCGTAGGGACTTTTAAAACCCAAATATGACCACATGGTTTCCCTGTTTAATATCTTTCAGTGCTTCATGAAAATCCCTTCATAAGTTTGTCCAGGGTTCTCCTCCAGGCTCACCTCTTCTGGAAGCCCCGCACATACCTTCCTGACCTCCCACCACGTTACTTCCTACCCCTGAGGCTTTGCCTCCACTGCTCTACCTGCTGAGAATGCCAGCCTCTTTTCTCATCCCCTAACTTCTGCCTGGCAAACACCGGACTCGGGTCAAGGGACACCATTTCTGTAAAGTGTTTCTGCATGGCTCTAGGCTGTTACATTCTTTGTCCCCTCTGTCTAAAAGCACCTCTGGAACTTAAGGCATTTATTTATTGATGTGTCTTGTCTGCCTTCTCTCTACAGACTGTGAGGCCCTGGAAAATAGGGACTGTATCTAAGCTACTGTTATTTACCCAGTGTCTACTGCAGAGAACTTTTGAAACCTCTCCAGACCTGGGCTTGCTGCCTATAAATGGCAGTGGATAACCTCTACCTCATACGGCTGTTATGAAGGTTAAAACGAGATCACATTGCTAAGGTGTGTAACTTAATGCTTGACACAGAGTAACCAGTTAATAAACGGTATCATTATTATCACATTATAAATACTGTTATAATATTTGAAATAAAATAATGGGTAAAAGAATAAATGCATGAATAAATGCAATAACTCAAGCAAAAAAAAACTATCCTCTTTCCTCTATCCTGGGAATAGTTACTTCTATTTCTCAGTCTTTTTCTCCTGTTGTTTTTCTACTGTACCTGAAATCAGAAATATGAGGGATTCTGTAGTTTTCTTGTCCTAAGGAAGAGAATTCATCAGAGCTTGTAAGCGAGAAGGAAGAGTAGTTCAAACTCTGTCTCCCTTCCTCCTCCTTTCTCCTCCTGTGGGAGAAACGAAAAAAGACATCTGCAAAGATCTGCTAAAAAATTCAGTGTGAATTCTTCAAAGTTTTCACTGGAATCTTGATAGGTGTTGAAAGAAAAAGTTTACAAATCAATCAATAACACTGGCAATAGCAAGCAACTGAAGCAGAGGGCTGAACACACCCCGATGACTCCCTCATTCATTTTCTAAGCATTGACTGAGAACCTGCTGGGTGCCAGGCACTGGACTAAGCCCTGGGAAAACAAGGTCATCTAGGACAAGATTCCTGACCTCATGGACAAACCTTCAATCTACGGAGATAGACAAACAAATTTATAACTAGAGTAGGCTATATTCTGTGGAGTGTGATCAAGAAAGTACAGGGCACATAATGAGTATCCTGAGTAGACAAGTCAAGGAAGACTTCCTGGAGATGATGCCTGAGCTGGGTTTTAAGGTCAGCTAGGGGTTAGCTAGATTAAGAAGTAGTTGCAGGTAGTCAAGTCTGAGGGAAAATAATATCAGTACATTGGACTGAGTTGGCTTTTTATATTTCTGAGAATCTAAGATGAATATCAGAAAGACTGTTAATGAGTCACCATTGATCCTATAAGAGTCTATGGCTCAAATGGGTGGGTCTCAAGCTGAACTGCTACTATCAAAATTATTGTGGTCTTTTTCTGGTTCAAAGGAAAATTCAAATTAGAAGGTGTAAGATTGGAAGGTTTCCTTGGCTAAATTTCTCAACTCAGTAAGTGTTGGTTTCTTCATTTCTAAAATAGAGAGTATAATAGCATCTATCTGTGATTGAGATCATTAGTTACCAACTCATTATCCACTATCCCCTCCCCAGGTTTTTTTTTTTTTTAAAGCAATGGAGCCAGTTTTCTTTAAGATGGCAATGAACCCAGATTTTTTTTTAAACGACATTTCCCACTTTCCTTTGAAACTAATATCACCACGTGACTAATATCTGGCCCTTGAAATAAAGTAGTAAGGTTGTATGGTACTTCCAGGAATGTTATTAAAAACAGAGGGAGTAATGGGGGTTACCTATAAATGGGCATGAGGGACCTTTCTGGGGTGATGAAAAAGTCCAAACACTGGAATGTAGTATTTGTTGCAAAACTCCATACATTTACTTTAAAAATCATTGAATTATATCCGAAAAATGAACAAATTTTATGGTAAATTATAACTCGATAATATTACAAAATAATAATAATGATGATATAAAAGAGCACTTTAAATGACTTTTAAAATAATATTTTCTTAAAAAGGAAGACGGTGTTGTAACTGTATAGTCAAGTTCTATCTATCTCATTGATAGAACTTGACTATACAGTTACAACACCGTCTTCCTTTTTGTGGAAATGTTGTTTGGGGCTTCTGGGAATGCCCCTTAAAAAAAGAATGGAGTTATAGATTAAAGGTGAACTGATGGAGAAAAATTCACCTTGCTAACACTAATAGAAAGAAAGCAGGAGTAACTATACACGTTTCAGACACAGCAGACTTTAAAGCAAGGAAAGTTATCAGGGATAAAGAAGGGCATTATATAATGATAAAGAAGTCAATTCTCCAAGAAGACAATATTCTTAATATGTATGCTCCTACCAATAGGATGTCAAACCACATGAGACAAAAACTGATTGAACTGCAAGGACAAATACATGAATCTACTATCATAGCTGGAGATTTCAACACTTTTATCATAATTGGACAGATCTAGCAGACAGAAAATCAGTAAGGACATAATTGAACTCAGCAATGCCATCAATCGACTGGATATATTTGACAGCTATAAATGACATCACCCAAATGACAGAAAAATACACATTCTCCTTAAGCTCACATGTAACATAACACCACAACAGACCATATTCTGGGCCAAAAAATATACCTTAACAAATTTAAAAGAATACAAATCATAAATGTCTGTTCTTAAACCAAATGGAATTAAATAGAAATCAATAACAGAGAGATAGCTGGAAAATCCCAAAATACTTGGAGATCAAACAACATACTGCTAAATAACACCTTGGTCAAAGAAGAGATCTCAACAGAAATTTAAAAATAGTTTGAACTAAATAAACATGAAAATACAACTTTTAAACTTTGTGGGAAGCTGAAAGCAGTGCATAGAGGGAAATTTACAGCATTATATGCATACAGTAGAAAAGAAAAAAGATCTAAAATCAATCATCTAAGTTTTCATCTTAAGAAACTAGAAAATGAAGAGCAAAAAATTTAATCCAAAGTAAGCAAAATAAAAGAAATAATAAAAATTAGAGTAGAAATAAATGAAAGTGAAAATAGGAAATCAACAGAGAAAAAGCTGGTTCTTTGAAAATATCAATAAAATTGATAAGCCTCTAGAGTCTAGCTCACTAAGAACAAAAGAAAGAGGACACAAATTACGAATATCAGAAATGAGAGAGGGGATATCACTATAGATCCTATGGACATTAAAAAGATAAAAGAGTACTATGAAAAACTCTATGTCTACAAATTGTAAAACCTAGATGAATCGGACCAATTTCTTGAAAGACACAATCTGCCAAAACCATACAAGAAGATATAGACAACCTAAACCTATATATATATATTAAAGAAATTTAATAAAACAATTAATTACCTTCCAAAACAGAAAACACCAGGCTCAAGTGAGTTCAATGGTGAATTCTACCAAACATTTAAGAAAGAAATTATACTAATTACCTACAATCTTTTTCAAAGGATAGAAGCAGGGGGACTACGTCCTAACTCATTCTATGAGACAAGCATTACCCTAATACCAAAACCAGACAAAGACAGTACAGGAAAAGAAAATGGTAGTCTAATATCTCTAATGACCATACATACAAATATCCTCAACAAAATATTAGCAAATCGAATCAAACAACTATATATAATATATATATATATTTTCTCAAAAATAAAAGACTCAGCCATCAGTTAGAAATAGGATCAGTTGTGTGTGTGTATATATATATATATATATATACACACACAATATATAATATATATATAATATATATATATAAATAATTATACACCAAGACTAAGTGGGATTTGTCCCAGGTATGCAAGCCTGGTTCAACATTTGAAAATCAATAAAATCTATCACATTAACAAGATAAAGAAGAAAAATCAAATGAGCATATTAATAGATAGAGAAAAAGCACTTTAAAAATCCAACAATTTATGATGTGGGGGGAGCTACCTGAATTTGATAAAAAATATCTACCTCCCAAAAAAATGCAGCTAACTTCATACCTAATGGTGAAAAACTTGAAGCTTTCCCACTAAGATTAGGAACAAGGCAAAGATGCACGCCCCCACACTACTTTTCAACATTGTACTGGAAATCCTAGCCAATGTAATAAGACAAGAAAAGGAAATAAAATGTAAATAGATTAGAAAGGAAGAAATAAAAACTGTTCACAAATGACACCATCATCAATCTAGAAAATCCAAAAGGACAAACAAAACAAAACTCCTGGAACTAGTAAGTGATTGTAGCATAGCTGAAGGATACAAGGTTAATATAAAAAAGTTAATTGCTTTTCTATATATCAGCAATGAACAAGTGAAATTTGAAATTAAAAACACAATACCATTTACATTAACACCCACGAAAATGAAATACTTGGGTATAAATCAATAAAACATCTAGAGGACCTAACTCTGATGAAAGAAATCAAATCTAAATAAAGGAAAAAAAGAAAGAAATCAAAAAGAACTAAATAAATGAAGAGATATTCCATGTTAATGAATAGGAAGACTCAATATTGTCAAGATGTCAATTCTTCCCAACTTGATCTATAGATTCACTCCCAATCAAAATCCCAGCAAGTTATTTTGTGGATATACACAAACTGATTCCAAAATTTATGTGGATGGGCAAAAGACTCAGCATAGCCAACACACTGAAGAACAAAACTGGTGGACTTCCTATAAAGCTACAGGAATTAAAAGTGTGGTATCAGTAAAAGACTAGACAAATAGATCAATGGAACAGAAGAGAGGGCCCAGAAATAGACATAAGTGTAGTCAACTGATCTTTGATAAAGGCACACCAAATGTAATATGTTTATTCATAATTGTCAAAAGTTGGAAGCAACCAAGATGTCCTTCAGAAGGTGAATGGATAAATAAGCTGTGGTTCATCCAGATAATGGAATAGTACTCAATGCTAAAAAGAAATGACCTATTAAGCCATGAAAAGACATGGAAAAACCTTAAGTGCATATTACTAGGTGAAAGAAGCCAATCTGAGAAGGCTAGATTCTGTATGATTCCACCACTATAATATAAAAGGCAAAACTGTGGAAAAAATAAACAGATCAGTGGTTGTGCAGGGGTTTGATGGAGGGAGAGCACAGAGGATTTTCAGGGCAGTGAAAATTATAACAACAATTTTAATTATAATTAAATGAATAATTATAAGGATAATTATCATTATAATGATAGATATATGTAATTACACATTTGCTCTAACTCATAGAATGTACAACACCAATTGTGAACTCTAATGTAAACTATGGACTTTGAATGAGTCAATGTAGGTTCATCAATGTGTCAATGTAGGTTCATCAATTATAACAAATGTTTGACTTTGGTCAGGATTGTTGATAATTGTTGAGTGTAGCTCTGCATGTGCTGGGGCAAGGGGTACATGGAAACATCTGTACATTACTTTTAATTTTGCTGTGAACCTAAAAGTCCTCTAAAATATTTTGAGAGAGAGAGGGGGCGGGGAGGGAGAAGGAGAGAGGTTAGCCCTCATCTTCCCTTCTTTGAGTTGCTGGTCTGAAAAACAGATGGTGTACCTTGAACTCCAATAGCCATCTTGATGGACTATGAGGGTCCATGGGAAAGGATGCTAAGCACTAGGATGATGAAGCCTGGGTCCCTGAAGGTCCAGAAGTACCATATTAGGTTACACTGTTTACCTCCAGACTTCTTTTATGTGTGAGAATCAACATTTGTGCCACTGCTATTTTTTTATTTTTTCTTTTATATATGACTAAATATAATCTTAACTTATATACTATCTCAAAGAGTTGTTCTGAGAATAAAATGCAAATTGGAAGATTTTGTTTTGCTTTTGTTTTCTGGAGAAATTGAAATAAATAGGCTCCAGGCTTGGGGATACTAGACTTATAGAAAACAAAGTTAAGTGGAAGTCTGCCTACTAAGTGCAGAATCCCTACCTCCATTTCTCTCCTCTGTTTCCAGAATGCCATGAGCCAGGCATATGCCCCATAGGCAAAGGATTGGAAGATTCTTCTAAGAAACTAAACTGCTTCTGAGAAAATATACATAGATGCTGATGTTGGAGCATTTGTCAGTGAGAAAGCTGGCTTACTTTCTTACTGCCAAAAAAAAAAAAGAGAGAGAGAGAGAGCCCACCAATTAAGAAGCCATGCCTCTGATACTTAACTTCTACTGCCAGTTTTTTAGAGCTTTGCTCTTAAATATGAAGACACCCCAGGATCATTAATAATTTAAGGAAAAACTCAAAGATGAAAGAGAGAGTTCAAAAACAAGCATATAAACAAAAAACATAAAAAGGTACCCAAGAAAGATACCCATAGAAATAATATGGGGATCAGAAGAAACTTAAAAAATAAAGATTAATATCCTCAATTATAGATGAAAATATCACATCCATGAAAGAGGATGCTATAAAAAAGGAACAGTGAAAAAATAAGAAAGAGTTCACTCAAGGAAATTAGTAATATTATAGTAGAATTTTTTTAATTAAAAGAAATTTAATTTAATTTTTTAAATTAAAAGAAAATGTAGACACTCTTCTAGAAAGTAGGACAGAAATTCATACAGATGCCAACAGGAGAATAAAGAAAATTAGAGAATTGGTCCAGAAAGTCCAAAAAATGAGTATAATCCAGAAAATGAAGGGAAGGAAATTATTAAATAATAAAAATTCTCAAAATTGGATGACACCAGTCTCCAGTCTGAGAAGACTTCTCAATCCTAATGAACCATTAAGTAAAAGACTGATACCAAGGCACATAATTGGGAAACTTCATAATACTAGGGAGAAAGACAATATCCTAGAACCCTCCACAGGAAAGAAAAAAAAAAAAAAAGGTGACATATAACATACGAGGCAATAGAATCAGAATGGTGTCAGACTTTTAATCTAGAATTTTACTCCCGGCAAAATATTTGTCAAATATTAATCAAGAGCAAAGTCATTTTAGATGTGTAAAGACTTAAAAAAAACTTCCCATGTACCTTTTCTTCAAGAGCTACTAGAAGATATGCTCCAGCAAAATAAGGACGTAAAATAAGAAAGAGAAGGACAAGTGATCTGGGAAACAGAGACTTCAATAAAGTAAGATTGACAAGTGGAGGTCCTAGGACGGTGGTGGAAAAAGCCCAAGATGATAACTGTGGGCAGACCTAGAGCATACCAGTCCAGACTAGGGGAGGATAAGGGCCTGAGAAGAACTCCAAGATTTAAAAAAAAAGAAGAAATTAATAGTGTGTATTCTCACTTTTAGGATCCTCTGCCACAACTTTTTATTAACTCTTTAGAGTATGTATCTGCTTGCAATGAAGAGAAAAAGAATAAGCAGCAAACTGCATTTGTCCCTGTTACGATCACATTATCTAACAGAATATACACAGAATATATATGATATACTTGAGAATATGGAAAGTAATCCTGCTTAGTTTTTGATAGGTTTTAACAATCTGAAAAAATTATCAACAGATAATGTCTTAAAAAGGGGAAAAAAAAATCAAGAAATATATAATGTAAGTTCCAGAGTGGAATATTGTAATTTCTGTAGAGTAGACTCTTGGATGGCTGTCAATGGGCTACAGGACGACAGAATCAGACGTGGGACGTAAGACCCCCTGATGCCCCTCCATTCTCTCCGCAACTCTTCCTCACTCTCTGACCAGCCAGACCCAGTGGCGGGCTGGTAACTTTTACCTCTGCAGATTGGCTTGAGCTATTCTCTGACTAGAATGTCAACCCATTCTTCCCCTCCCCCTTCCCTACAAAATGGAACCGAACTGGAACTGGAACACACTTCCTACTGTGTTCCCTTTTGAAGTCCTCTCTTAGGACCTATGCAACTTGTTGCATGTTACCTATTTACATATCTTTTTCCTCCGTCTAGACTGCAGGAACTTTCACTTATTTATGTCTTTGTGTCCTTAGTAGCTGGCACAGTGGGTCTTTAGCCAATGCTTACTTGGCATCTCTGTGCCTCAGTTTTCTATTCAGTAAAATGGAAGTGACGTTATTTAGGGTTCTGATGGGCTATAAATAAAATAAAGTGGGCATGTTGTCTGTGTCTGATGGCATCTCACCCATTCTACCCCATGGCATTGACTGTGCCTTATTCTCTCAGGCCGCAGGGACAGTCAGGCCTGGCTAATCACGGCATTGCTTCTTCCAGAACACAGTGTTGGTCCAGACAGGATGGGTGGGGCCATGACCCAAACGAAGCAATCAGAGACTTTTATGAGGTCTGGTGTATGGAGTCTGGGAGAGGGTGTCTCTCTTCCTTTTATGTCATATGATATAAGGACATAGGCTTGGGGCTGCCCGTGGCCCTTTTTCTCTCTGA